GAAAAAATCTGGACAAATTGTTGGTACAAGTGGATTTCATCCGGTGAGGTTTACTTCGAAGGCGGCAAAATATATATTGATGAATAATTAAATATCTTGCATTTGTAGGCAACAATAATATGAATATAAGATAAATATCGTATTTTGATTCAAATTTAGGAAAACAAAATCCAAAGCAGTTTGTCAAACCTAACCTAAATTCCCAAGCGCCATCTAGTGTACAAATTTTATAAACAAATACCGACTAAACCTATGTTTTGAACACTTCAAGTTTCTCTAGTTTTTGTTAGCGCTTTCATTACGTAAAGTTCGAAAGATTTCAGTATATCGTCACCTAAAATGCAAAATAACATAATCACACTTTTCATAGCTTTACAGCCGAATGAAAAACGATGTAATAGAAACTACACATATTGAAAAAGAATTTGAGTTTTGGTTATAAAGCGGGTATATATAGGTTATAAAATGGTTATATAGTCGTACTATATTGGTTATATAATGGTTATATCTGACAGCGGCAGCTCAAAATTTTGTTCAAAATTATGTGATAAATCGTCAGCAATAAAAAACTCAGTTTACACTATTTTTTTTTTTTTCATGATACGTAGTTTGGCATTTTAGGTGACGACATGCAGCTGACAACATTGGTTTTTTCTTTTCAGCTAAGGCGATATCAAGTGCGGAGGGTTCAAACAAATTCAAACACCTAGAAAAAACTATGAGCTGCCATTATCGCCATCAAAAATTAAACATTTCGATTTCAGTTCTCGTTGCAGCTGCCACAGTTATCGATAGCCGCTTTTATTCCAACTAAAGACATGCTTCATGAATTTGCTCCTAATAAGTGCGAACAACTAGCAACAGGAACTAATAAATGGTGTAAAACCCGGGTAATTACCGCATTAATGTGATGGTGTCCTAATTTAAATTGCAAATGCTTGGAAATCAAGCATTCCATACCTTCTATTTTCATTCATCAAATGCTGTGGGGAAATCGAAATCCGCTTTTACTAATTAATAATTAATGAGCACCTGCAGCACATACAAGTCGACATACGAGCACATACATACGTTCGTGTAAGTAATCGCTAAATAATAACTGTATAATTTTCGCCTGCCCGCTGCCCGCTCGCCGCTTTGCAATCATTAGCGCATTGCCCTTAATATCAATCATTGCGGAGCTGCGAATGCGATAATTCCACTTGCAGCGGCTTGAGTTATTGCTGGCAATGCTAACTAAGAAGCTTCTAGCAACAATTTATTACAAATTAGATTTAAAATGCAATTGGGTTTTTATTATTGCTGCTATTGTTGTATATTTTCCGCTTTTTATGCACCTTTTTCTGCCTCTCCACTTGTAATTAGAATAATTAGTTGCATTAATTGTAATTAATAGAATGATTAACTCTTGCCTTATACAAACTGCAGTATGTTTCAGGCAACGCACATACACACACACACACACACACATACGCGCGCATATTAAGTAATTTATTTGCTGTGTCGCTTGCGTCGTTGGTGTGTGAAAAAGCACAATACAGCGACAGTAATTAAAATCAAATGGTAATTCTAAATATGTTTTCAACTACTTTTTTCTCTATTTTTTCTATTATAACTTAATTATGCCGAACAATTGCCGCTGCGGCAAGTTAGTAATGCAAGTGTAATGGCAGCAACGGCAACTACTTAGTGAGAAGTCAATAGACCCGACTTCAGCTGACACTGGCTGGCCTTCAACTTTGGAAACTAAACAAACACATGCAAATAAATCTAAATGCACACATGCATGCTGGAGCGTCCAAAATAAGCGACGCTTTGTAAATTAAGCTTAAATATACGCTGCTCTTGCTGTTGTTGTTGCCGTTGAAGTTGTCACTTTAGCAACTTGGCGCGCTTTGCATGCGAATTGCATTTTTATAGCAACTTGCGAAATTAATTGCAAGTGTAAACAGCGCCGAGCATATTTTCGAGCTGCCAGCAACTTTTGTATGGAAAAGTATTAAATTTGCTGCTCATTGACTCACGCCGCACAAACAGCGGCCATTTTTCACGGTAATTACCGTAATTAATTTGTATTTGAAACTGAATTTGAAGTTTTCATTCACTTTTCATATTTTCGCATGGGGTTAAGCTGCGATTTGTTGAACGCCAAGGAACAAATATCGAAATTAAATATAATAAAATTTTTGAAATAATTATCGTTAATTTTTGGTTCACGAATTTTAGACAAAAAACTTAAGTAAAACAAAAAAAAAAACAAGAATTGCTGTGCAACGAAGCTATAATAACCTATACGATTACCAAAGGCGCCTTAGAAGAAATTTTATCGTTACGTTACGCTACAGTTACTCGATCAGAACAATTTCTTCAGAGATGGTATTATGATTTAATATTAAATAATAAAACATGCAAAATTTCGTGAGGATATCTCGTCAAATGAAAATTTTGTCCAGATGAGGTCTTCAGTTGAATCGTTCCCTTTATACGGCAGCTATATGCTATAGTGATCCGATCGAACCAATTTCTTCAGAGATGGCATCGTTATCTTTAATAATAACTCGTACCATTTCTTGAAGTTATCTCTTCTAATAAAAAAGTTTCCCATACAAGCACTTAATACCTATTGTTCAGTTTGTATGGCAGTTATACGCGTTTGCTATAGTTGTCCGTTATCGATGATGTCGACAAATGAGCAGCTTCTTGATAAGAAAGGAAGGTGTACAAATATTCTAGATCGATATCCCAAAAACTGAGGGAATGTATGCAAACAGACGGAAAGACGAACATGGCTAAATCGTCTCAGTTCGTTAAGATGATCATTTGTAAATACATTTTATAAGGTCTCCGACTTTTTCTTCTGAGTATTAAAAGCATCATGCCTAATTTAATTAAAACTGTTCAGTGTATAAGAAAAAAACTGGGACTTTGGGATGTACTCGGTCAAGAGTTTACTATTCATAACTAAGTTACCAATCTCTGGAGGTTTGTGTAGTTCGCAACGGATAAATAATACGAAATGAAATTTTTTAAGAACGCACACCACGCTGCAGTTTTTAAAGGCATGAGACACCTCATGAAATCCATTACAATGCTTTCCAAAATGATAAAAGCCTCTAATTTTTTTTTTTTTTTTTTGTTAAAAATCGGAACATATACTATCAAAGTAGTAGAAGCGCGATCAGTTATACGCGTATACAAATTTTTAAAAATTGAAAAAAAAAAAATTAAATTAAAAAAATTTGGCATTAAATTTGTACCATTATAATTTAAATTTAAGGCACACACATAGTGTAAAATTTCGAAAAAGAAAATCGACGATTTTCATATTTCGATACTTTAATAGTAACATATTTCAGTTTGAAATCGATATCGCAAATAGCTTTTGAGTTACAGCCGTTTAAAGGCTTGCCGCCCAGTTCAATCAGCTGTTTGAGTTTAGATTTAATCGCGTTTGTTTCAGAACAGCATATTTCAAATTTGCTTTCGCATTTTCTTTCGAACCTGTTTTAAAATTTTCTGCGAGCCGACCAGCTTGAACTCCATATATAAGCCTCTTCTTTGCATATTTCTATATATGTACAATGACATATCGATTTTTAAACCAATCGACTTAAATTTGTGGTAAATTCCAAATTTTTCTTACGCCGCCAATTCATTAATTTTTCTTTTTTTTTTATTTATTTTTTTCTTTTTTTGTTCAGCTCGATTTGTACGAAGTATATTTTCTAGTTTAACGCATTTTTTTATTTGTCGGTTTCAATCACGGAGAAAGTCGGAATCACTTCAGCAGTGGAAGTTCTTTGTCTTTAGCGTCTTCCGATATTTCGTTCATTTACTCATTATTCATTAATTTAAAAAATTAAATTTTAAAATAAAAAAATTATTTTAAGTCAGTGCTTTTAAACGTCAGTGATATGTAAAACCGAAAAGTTAATTTTTTTATTTACTTTTTTAATTTTTTTAATTTTGAAAAATTTTTGTATATGTACTAATCTAATCTAATCATCTAATCATTGAGTATTCGACTCAAAAAATTTTAGCTCAAACTTCTCATTTCAAACTAGAAATTGTGTAAATATTATGATCATGACCATATGTTTTCACCTAAAATACAAAATAACGTAAAATCACTTTTCAAAAATTTACAGGTGAAAGAAAAACGATAAAATAGAAACCACTCATTTTGAAAAAAGTCTTAGATTTTTTACATACTGGTTAAATAATGAAAATATTAAAAAAATAGTTAAAATTCATTTCAAAAATTCTGTTTTGTAACATTTTTCACATTGTGAAAAATCTGTCATGAACACCCTAATGTTTTCAACTATTTTTTACGCTGAGCTTATCAAAATGTTAAAGTAGACTTTTGGAAAAATGCTTTTAAATATCGTAAACTCATAAGGAAAGCGCCAAAATGGCCAAATACCAGGGTTGCAAATTCTTCATTCAAAAATTTTGTATTGAAAATTAAATTTTTATTTTTTAAGTTCGATGTTAAGTTCATTTTTATTCCAAAATTTATTTAAAAAATTTCCTTATTTCTTCAAATTTTGGGATTAATTTTTGCATTTTTTAATTGAGATAAGCACTTCTTCTTAATTTGAATTTAAAATTGAAAATATGCATGGAATGAAGTACGCAAATGCGCAAGAATCTGAAAAGAATTGTTCTTTTTATCTTAATTCCAAGCTTAGTATTAAGATTTTTCTTTTTTATTCTCTAATTCTGCTAAAATGCATGTCTAGCGAAGGTACCCTAAAGGATGACTATTTCTTTCCGACATAGAAACATTTGCATCTGGTATCGCAAAGGACCCAAACTGGTCTGTGAGGGGACTTATTGGCCTACCAGTTTGACCTAAACTTAACCTAACCAAAATTTTTATCCGATTTCTGGAATTAAAATTATTTTAGTTATTTGATTTATTTAATTCAAACTTTAATTCAATTATATTTTCTAAGCTTCTATAACAAACAAGCAGTTGATTCAAGAAAACTTACCTCAACTCAATAATTTTAGTAAAATTTTAGATTCTCTGCTTATTTTTCAGGCAAAAATTGTACAGCGCAGATTGGTTTTCGTAGTTTGTATTGCAAACAGTTTAAAATTATTTTGAAAATACTTTGCTAATGTAATTATTTTGTTATTTATATGATGATCATTTATAATATCATTAAATATTACTTTTATTTTTTTAGCGCACTTGTTGTTTTTGTTTTAGTTCACCATTGACGCGACAAAATTTGTTTATTTCCAATTTCTCTTCCACACACTTTGTTGTTTTTGTTTTCGAAAACTGTATTATGCACAGCGCTAATTAGCGCACACTGTTTAATTTCAAAAATTTTCACTTTGCAACTTTTGGCATTTTCGTTTATCCTTGCGCTGGGGCACTGGCCGAGTCCGGGCGCTGCTTGTCTCATTAAAATGCGGTCACTTTCTCGGCTCCAAAAATGCGTTGGTGCACCAAATAATTGCCGTTACTCACATTTGTTGTATTGCGCGCTTTGCGTTTTGTTTTCAATAATATTTCGTGCGGTTTATTGTTGCTGTCTTTGTATTTTAAATTTTGCGCCACATGCACACAAATAAAATTTTGAAATTTCTGCGTTTTAAAAAACTGCGTTGCCTGCTATTTTTGGCGAAACGTATTGCTGTTGGCTACCTGTGCGCCTCCGCGGCAACATCTCAGGCAGCGCTGGCGTTATTAGTGGCAAGTATGGCAGCGGCAACAACACGGCTATCGCATTGCTGCAATTTATCAATCACTTTCAACTGCCACATGCAATTAATCACGGCGATTGCTGTGATCGCAACGTAACGGCGCTGTTACTGTTGTTGTTGCTGATTGTTGCAGCGATTGTTTTGTGTTTGCGTCTTATTTGTTTCTCGTTTTTGTTGCTAAATTGTTGTTAGTTCGAGTTGGTAGCAAAAGTTGGCGTTAAGTGGCTGTTGGTTGGCGTACAACGTGTGATCGTTATTGTTATTGTTGTTGTTTGGAGCCATTAATATTTAATGCACGCTTTTTGAGTGTACTCACAACAAATTTAACGGTGTCGATATGCAAAACAAAGCGCTGCTCAAACATACACACACACACACAAACACACGCTTAATAAACCGCACTTGCAACGCCAAAACAGTTCTAACGGTCGCGAGGTACGGTTTAAAAATTTATATTGTCACTTATTAAACACACGCACCGCGTCACTGGAATGTTGCAGCGCCAATATGTTGCAGTAAACACTACTTCAACACACACACAGACAGACACGGGCGACTGTCCCAACTTGCCGCACAACAAAATATTTAATTATGCTACTTATGCAATTATTATCTGTTTAATTGTGAGCTCGCTACGCCAAGATGGTAATCGGTTCACATGCGAGTTCCAAATGTATTCACAGTTCAGCGGTGGCTTCAAGAGTCGTCCGTGCGAGTCGTACGAGCAGGCAGAGCGCCGTCTAAAGACTGAGCAGCGCTGCTAACTCGCAGGCCGCCTGTGCTTGCTTGCTGCCAGTCGGCCGACGCGCGCTGCCGCTACGCTGCCGTGGACCCCCCAAAAGAAACGCCAGCAACGCGTTGGCAGCGCTAACAGCAACAACACTAATAACAACAATTAAATCAGCGCGCACACATGCATACAACACTACGAGTAACAACAAACACGTTAAGTGGACAGCAACAACAATTAAAAGCAACCACATTAATATGACAGCAGTTAAAAAACGAGCAGCAGGCACGACAGCCAGCCGAACGACCGAGCGCTGGCAAGCAAAACGAACAACGTGCCAACGAAGTCTCCGCTGCCACAGTTGTTGCTGTTTTGTGTGTGCGATAACGACGTCGCCGCGCTGCTAAGTGCTTGCCACACAGCAAAACGAACACAACCGAACGCAAATGCCCGTGTCGAACGAATGAGCAACGGCAGGCGGCAAACAAAGTAAAGCAAAATACAACGCTGCCGAAGAATGAATTGCGCGCCACTACGACAAGACGCACGTTCGGGCGGACGGCGCTGGTGTTGGTGGTGGAAGCGCAGCCGCCGGCCAACAGCAGACCAACAAACCACCCACTCTACGTCGCTGCTGCTATCGATGCGCTCTCTCCGCTAAGAGCGGCCAACAGCTGTGGTAGCTTGGCGGAGAGCGCCCGAATGCGTGCGAGAGCGTGCTAACGGCAAAAATACGAAAAAAACATAATGACGTCATTAATTGAGGCGGTTTTGCAGCGCGCTAACATACAAATGAGGCGCTCCCACAACGATAGCTGCGCGGCATGTGTGTGTGTGAGGCGCTCATTAACTGTGTACAGCGTTGTTGTTGCCACAGCCCCAAATAACTTACTAAACAAGCAGCATGCAAGAGTGGGGAACTATCGCTGCGCCAGCTTAACGAAGACTTGGCGCGGCAGCAGCGAGAGAGAGAGAGAGAGAGCGAACTAAAGAGCAAATAAACGTGGCAGTTGCTCGAATTCAATGTTTTTGTTGCTGGATGCCAATGCAGCCGTTGGCGCTTGTGGAGTCTCTGCTGCGCGCGTGTGAAAGCTGCGCTCCCCTTTTGTTTATCGCGCTCTCTCAGCGTATGTTGGCGCTCACTGCCAAGCGCTGTATGCACACGGCGCCAAATCCGTTTGGCGCGCAATAAGAGCAAGTAATTGGAGTGCGAAAAACTATAATCAATTTTATAATTTTCATAATTTTTTACAAAAGTGTTCGCTGTACTTTTGTTTCCCTTTTTGACTTTTCGCACTATTTTCAACAAATCCACATACACACACACACATATATGTGGCCACTTAATGTTTCGCAACATTTTCAACCACTATTTTTTAATTCGCATATGTGCACACATGCACATTCCACCCCCATTGTTTAAATTTTTTATTGCTTTCCCTCTACTTATGGTCATTAATGATTTGTTGTTGTGCGCTGCGCCGTGTCGCTTCCACACTAATTACACGAAAAAATATTGGCTGCAAGAAGGGTTGCGAATCGCTGATAAAAAATGTCTGGGGTAGCCTTTTCGGGTCGCGTGGCGCACGGGGTAGTGCTGTCAGTGTCTGCCAAAAATGACAAATGCACTTTGGACACACACACTCAAACACACACGCACACATGCGAGGCAGCACATGTGTGTTATGCTCTTTGTTATAATTAGAAAATAAGAGACATTCGAGCATAATCAATTGGTAATCGGAAAACTCGGTGGCAATGCGGAGACTGTTGGCATAAAAAACGGTATTGATTTCCATTAGATACATATATCAGTATTAGCGGACTTAGGACTATTTGCTTGCCACATATGCGCATGAGGGTATGAGGGTTCCGATTTTTCGTATGCAAACAAAATAGCACTTTCGTTAATTTTCACTTTTAATGGTTTTAAATTAAGAAAGGGCAAGAATGGTCGTGGAATGGGTGGAATAGGTGGAATGGGACGGAAGGGTGTGTTTCGTGATTTCATTATTGCGGGGGAATGGAAGAGGCGGACTTTAAAGTTTATGATAAGCTCTCAATCAGAAAGGTTGCACAGATAGATTGCACAGGAAGTGGTTGTCTCGCCGAATCTTTAAAGTGAAAGTTTTAGAAGAGTCAATGACCTTGGTCTTAGCTGAGACAGTGAAAGTGTGCTTTTTCCAATTATTCTATTAATAAAAGCATGGACACATCATTTTATCCAATGAAACCTATAATATTCGAAGACCAAACCTCCGACTTGTAAATCTCCTCTCAGTCAGTAAGATTCACAGCTTCCTAATTTCGTAATTTTTCTCAAGTTGCTTAGCATATTCTCCCGTAAATGTTTTATTTCCATCGAGAAACGAAATGTTGCAACATCGCAGAATGGAGCTTATGTAGAGCAGCCGTGACTCTGATTAGCTAAGACAGGAACCTTAGCATTTAGACTATGTCTTGGGATAATTTGTCAATAAGAAGCAGTCTGGTACTATAACCCTTTTTTACTTGGCGTTTTGTTGTTTTTGTAGCGACAGAAAACATTTCGGAAGTGATTTCTATGAATAGAGCGTTATTGAGGGCTCTTGGCCGGATAAAAAGCCTGGTCCATGCCGAATGTCGTTGGAATGGTTTTTTCTTACTTATGTATTTTCTTTCGGCTGCCATAGACAAGCAAGTTTCCATCCCATAAAAGATCGTTGTTGAAAATGGCAGCGGCGCTTCGGCAGACAAATTTGAATCAAAAAAATTTCGAAAAATACTTATCAGACCTTCGGACTTCCATTTTCTGGAACACGCCACAAATAATAAGAGAAACTTCGCGCGGCATCAAGCAAAGACAGTCTTATTTCTCGACGCAAACTGAATATTTCTAAAGACAACTCGCCGTTTGCCAAAATGTCAATCACCGCTTCCGACACTAATAGACAATTGATGGGAATCAGTACTCTCTCTACAACACATTTCGACTTCTTGCCTAATTCATCATCACCTCAGCGCTGCTACACCCCCAAAAACTTCAATTTCTCTAATATGTTAGAACACTGCCGCCTCAGCTGACATGTCCAGCTAACCACAGCTAGACATCCTGCAACGGCACATCTACTTATTTTAAATAAATATTGTTGACTACATCCACGACAGCATTCTCCGAATAGCGAAGCCATTGAACTGTGTTTACGTCCATGCCGCCTCGGCCTCACTCTGCCCAAAACAACGCTGACTCATCCTCCTCGCGGCTGCATTAATTTCCTTCATATGTGTAAATATACATGGGCTAGTAAGTGCGTATGTGTGTTTAAACACGGAATAAGTTTAAATTATGCTTGCTCCGAACTATTATGCATCTACATGGCTCTGGCCGCTGTTCGTCTTCCAGTGTGTCCGTCTGCAGCTTCCCTATTTCATTGCTACCTTTTGGTTTCCTCGGTCGCGTATGCAACTTGTAGTTGCACTAATTCACATTTGATGTTCCTCGAATGCGTTTGGTCAATGAGGTTATCCGATACTCATAGTCCAAACCGACTCATTGCTTGCGCTACCAACGGCAACAGCCTTAGAATGCCATGTAGCAAGCAGAGGCTCGCTCCAACTTGGCAAATGTCGGCATGCCCTCACTCGCATTGCGCTATGCCTCTATGCTGGCGGCGTAGTGACTTGATGGCCACTTGTTGGCTCAGCTGTGTGGGCCTCCACACCTCA